TATGCTGCCCCATTCTCCCTTTCTTTCTGAGAGCGATTAAAATTATGATAATATTAATCATTCAAATATTTTTCCCTCAGATCTAACACTTTTTGTTCTGTTCTCTCAGGCTTTTTAAATCTGATTTTAGTTTTTTTTTCTATTAATTTATCTTCGGTTACATTTATACTTTTCTTCTGCTCTGCCCAATCTTCTGTTACGAAGAATTTAGATCGTATACATTTAAAAATTGTTTTTCACATCTCTGCTAAAATTTCCCATCAAATCATGCGTGATGTCCTTCTTTTCCTGTAGACACGTTAGAATTTTTATTATAGTAATTTTATGCTTCCTTTGGTAATTGTAATATCTGGGGTGTCTCTGGATCTGCTTCTATTAATCACTTTCTTTTTAATGTTGGTCACTTTTTCTTGCTTCTTCAGGTTTTTATGTGAAGTGAATTCTTACATGTCTAGGAATTTCCTATTTAGTAAGACCTGAGATCTGTGCCCTACGGCGGTTTTCGAGATCTATCTCTATTTTACCGATGAATCTTTTGATCTCTAAATTTCTGGAGGCCTCACCACCCTGCTTTAGAGCTCTGGGGCCAGATTTGTTGGTGACCTAGCAGAATTTTTTTAATCTCAAATCTCACCCCTAGTATTTTTATTTTTCTTTTGGCTGCAGCTACCCATATCTCTTCCTAGAGATATCCTCTAGGAAGCTCTAGGAAGGATTTTTCAGCTGCCCAATGTCACCCTAGGCATTTTGTCGTTAAAATCAGGAGTATTTGTAGGGAGATGAAGGGGACTGAGCTCTCCCACCCCTCCATCAATCCTGATAGATGAAATCCCTGAGGGACTGTATTTTTCTCCCAGTTCCTCTGCATTTTTCCCATTCTTTCCAAGCTGAAAAGCAAGTTTGCCCGAAATGTTTCTTTCAATTTTCCTTTCCTTCCTCATTTTTTTTCTCATCTGAAAATAACATGTATCTGAGAGAAATTATCTCTATCCTCTCTCTATTCCCATATTTTTTAAGATAATATTTCTGTTACTCATGAAAGTAACAAGAATGAGATAGGTGTTAATATTTTCTCACTGTTACTATTGGGGCTCTTGTGGATTCTATTTTGTTATATCCAACCACAAATGCATTCTTAAAAGTTTGGTAAAATGTAGGCAGGATTCCTTTTATCCCAAGTTATGTCAGATAGATAGGATGTCCTAGTTTCTATTTTGTTGGTGGGGGAAATAGAGAACAGCTATGTATTTCCCTTTTTTCTTTTTTTGAGACGGAGGCTTGCTCTGTCACCTAGGCTGGAGTGTAATGGCGTGATCTCCACTCACTGAAACCTCCACCTCCCAGGTTCATGCCATTGTCCTGCCTCAGCCTCCCCAGTAACTGGGACTACAGGTGTGCACTACCACGCCCAGCTAATTTTTGTATTTTTAGTAGAGACGGGTTTTCACCATATTGGCCAGGATGGTCTCGAATTCCTGACCTCGTGATCTGCGCCCCCGTCCCCCGCGCTTCCCAAAGTGCTGGGATTACAGGCGTGAGCCACCACCCCTGGCCATTTCCTCCCTTTTATCAAGGACTGTCACCTCTGGAAGTTAGATTCTTTAAGTTTATTTGTATTCCAAAGGTTATAATGTTGCTATTTTTAAAAATATTATTTGTAGCTTATCCAGCTTATTTTGTTTGCTTAGGATGACAGTGATGGTTTCTTATTACTTTCTATATTTATTCCAGAAATACTATTTATAAACACATTAAAATGAAACAAATATTGCATACATATCTACAGATGGTTCATTTCTGTTGTTCTTTAGTCATTTATAAAGTTTCAAGTTTCTTCCATATGTAATTTTCCTTCAACCCAAAGACACTATCCTTTACATTTTCATATAAGTGCAGGTTTGCTTATGAAGAAACTGTTTCTCTTAAAATTTCTTACCTTGTTTTCATCTTTTATGAAAGTATAATCCTACCTAGGTTGCTAGGTTTTCCTTTCTTCATAGAGCACTTTAAAGATGTTTTTCATTATCTTCCATCTCACTTTATTTACAATGAGAAGTCAGTGAGGAGTCAGCAGTTACTTTTGTTTTGTTTACCTTACCTTATTGTAATCCCGTCTTATTTCTATGCCTACATTTAAGATTACTTTTCCTCTGGTTATCTGCAATTTGATGATGATGTGTCTTGGCATGGTTTCATTGTGTTGAGCTTGGATTTATAGATTTTTTTATAACATTCAACAAATTATTTGCTTTTATTTCTTTAAATATATTTCAGACTAACAGCATTCTTCTGATATTGCAATTACATATGTGTTTGACTTCTTAACATCGTTCCACAGGTCATTGGATTTTTGTTCCTTTTCCTTTCATCCCTTTTTATCAGTATTACAGCATGGTTTGTACCTATTACCCTGCCTCCACTTACATAGATTACCAGAGCCCTTCTTCAATAACTCTCTTTTCGTTAGGATACTGCTCCACAAATTCAAGCCACCTGAGACTCTGTGCTCTCCAATCTTTGTCTTTTCAGTTTAACAAGACTATTTATATGTTGCCTTGTTCCCCCTTCTTGTGCTGTGATTTGGAAAATGTCTCCGGGGATAATTATAGAATTCATTTTTAACTCACTATCTCAAGGATCACGGTTCTGTATTTATTCATTTCCAATGTCTAAAACTTGTTGTTTTATATATTTTTGTAATTTTATTTGTTAATGCTTGTTTTGGAAAGGCTAGTTTAATACCAGTTAGTAATGAACAGAAGATCATATCTTTATTTGTTGATAATGATCATTTTTATTAACTAGATCACATTTCATATGGCATCAAATAGGTGTTGTGCCGGACACCTCTTAACCTCAGTAGGAAGGATCCAGGTTCAAGAAGCGGAAGAAGAGACCCAGAGCCAGCAAGTGAGATATGGGGTTTGATTAGGGGATTACATACAGGGAAGAGTCCAGTGGTCACAGGCTGGACAACATATCTGCCTTACGTACAGTCCAGTGGTGGCAGGCTGGTCAGGAAAACCACAACTGCTTGCAATTTCTATAGCATTTAACAAGCTCCCCACCACCACTTAACGATCTCCACCCGGCAGCCTCCGTAACCCAAAATCCAGGGCATTAATCCCCTGTACAGCCCGTGTTCCATTGGACAGGTTGGGGGTTCAGATGTTTCTCATAGACAAGGAATGAATCTCCGGACTGGCCACTCCTGGATTCCCTGGCTCAGGACACACTTTCAGGTGCCTCTGCAATCTGGGGTCGTTCTAAGGATATGTTTAAGTTATTGCTATCAGGGGCTTTTACTTTACAAAAGGCATTAAATAATTAAAAGTCATAAAATATGCTTTAATTAGAAAACTAGGCATGATATTTCCAGGATGATTTCATATTTATATTAAATTGAAAACATGTATGATTTTCTACAGCTATTTTCACCCATGGTTTTTAAAATTTCATGCAACGGCCTGAGTAAGGTAGCTCCTTCCTGGACTCGCAGCACTTTGGGAGGCTGAGGCAGGAAGATTGCTTGAGCCCAGGAGTTTGAACCCTGTCTCAAAAAAAAAAAAAAAAATTACCCTAGGGTGGTGGCACTTATCTGTAGTTCCAGCTACTCAGAAGGCTGAGGTGGAAGGATCCTTTGAGCTGGGGAGGTTGAAGCTGCAGTGAGCCATGATCACACCACTGTACTCCAGCCTCCAGGTTGGGTGACAGAGAAAAACTTTGCCTCAAAAAACAAAGAGAAAAAAACTTGATGCAACATATGAGAACTTTTAATCACATATATGCTATTATTATTTTTGAGGATTGATTTCAATAGCATATACACAAGGTCAAACAGAAAAATGAAAATTGTCAAAGTGTTTATTTAAAATTAAATTTCGATAAATATACATTCATTAAGATTTTAAAAAAAGGAAAACTGAATATAATATCTTGTTGAACATACTGTTAAGTGAAACCACTGATGGCTGCTTCCCAGAAATTATCTTTAAAAATCCACATTTATAACCAATAAAATATTTTAATATTTAGGGAACTCAGAGCTATTGTGGTAAGCATTCAACTTTGTTATTTTTGAGCATAAGATTTTTGCATTTTCAGTTAAGATGTGAAGATTGGCTGGGCACAGTGGCTCATGCCTGTAATCTCAGCACTTTGGGGGCTGAGGCGGGCGGAACACCTGAGGTCAGGAGTTCGAAACCAGCCTGCCCAACATGACAAACCCTGTCTCTACTAAAAATACAAGAATCAGCTGGGCATGGTGGCAGGCGCCTGTAATCCTAGCTACTTAGGGAGGCTGAAGGGTAATCACTTGAACCCGGGAGGTGGAAGTTGCAGTGAGCCAAGATCACGCCACTGCACTCCAGCCTGGGCAACAATGATAGATTCATCTCAAAAATAAAATAAAATAAAAAAATAATAAAATAATAAAAAAGTGAAGGTTGATCTATGTCAAGATAGTTTGTAAAGTTAAAAAAATTAATCAAGAATTTGTTGTCTTCAAGGTCATGCTGCAAGCTAACAAATACTGGTTTTTTATTGTTTCCATTGAGGCTACTGAATTGACCTACTTACAAATCTTCAAATATGCCTCTAATTTTTTAGATATCTTTATGTAACAAAATGTCCTTCAGGGTCTAGGGTATGTTCTCCTGAACTCCCAGGCCTAGAATCTCAGCCATATATCTATTTTGGTTCACCCATGGAGTACCCTGGACATACTTAAAAAATGGCACTTAGTTTGCAGAGTTATAATAATCTTTTGATTGCTTTGTTTTTCCCACTTGATTTTAAATCCCATGAAACTATCAATGGTGTATGATTCATCCCTATTGCCCATTATGGCCTTTACTACAGAATAAATATTAATACTTGTTAAGCAAACAAGTGGAATTACTTCTCTATTCTACATTGCATACAAATATTATTTTAGTAGGAATATGAATATGAATTAAATCATTGGATGCTAACATTCTATTTTGTGTCTTCTGTTACAGGCTCTTAAATCTGATCTACAATGGAAAAAATTCTTTTTTATCTGTTTTTCATTGGCATAGCAGTGAAAGCTCAGATCTGTCCAAAGCGTTGTGTCTGTCAGATTTTGTCTCCTAATCTTGCAACCCTTTGTGCCAAGAAAGGGCTTTTATTTGTTCCACCAAACATTGACAGAAGAACTGTGGAACTGCGGTTGGCAGACAATTTTGTTACAAATATTAAAAGGAAAGATTTTGCCAATATGACCAGCTTGGTGGACCTGACCCTATCCAGGAATACAATAAGTTTTATTACACCTCATGCTTTCGCTGACCTACGAAATTTGAGGGCTTTGCATTTGAATAGCAACAGATTGACTAAAATTACAAATGATATGTTCAGTGGTCTTTCCAATCTTCATCATTTGATACTCAACAACAATCAGCTGACTTTAATTTCCTCTACAGCATTTGATGATGTCTTCGCCCTTGAGGAGCTGGATCTGTCCTATAATAATCTAGAAACCATTCCTTGGGATGCTGTTGAGAAGATGGTTAGCTTGCATACCCTTAGTTTGGATCACAATATGATTGATAACATTCCTAAGGGGACCTTCTCCCATTTGCACAAGATGACTCGGTTAGATGTGACATCAAATAAATTGCAGAAGCTACCACCTGACCCTCTCTTTCAGCGAGCTCAGGTACTAGCAACCTCAGGAATCATAAGCCCATCTACTTTTGCATTAAGTTTTGGTGGAAACCCCTTGCATTGCAATTGTGAATTGTTGTGGTTGAGGCGTCTGTCCAGAGAAGATGACTTAGAGACCTGTGCTTCTCCTCCACTTTTAACTGGCCGCTACTTTTGGTCAATTCCTGAAGAAGAGTTTTTGTGTGAGCCTCCTCTCATTACTCGTCATACACATGAGATGAGAGTCCTGGAGGGACAAAGGGCAACACTGAGGTGCAAAGCCAGGGGAGACCCTGAGCCTGCAATTCACTGGATTTCTCCTGAAGGAAAGCTTATTTCAAATGCAACAAGATCTCTGGTGTATGATAACGGAACACTTGACATTCTTATAACTACTGTAAAGGATACAGGTGCTTTTACCTGCATTGCTTCCAATCCTGCTGGGGAAGCAACACAAATAGTTGATCTTCATATAATTAAGCTCCCTCACTTACTAAACAGTACAAACCATATCCATGAGCCTGATCCTGGTTCTTCAGATATCTCAACTTCTACCAAGTCAGGGTCTAATACAAGCAGTAGTAATGGTGATACTAAATTGAGTCAAGATAAAATTGTGGTGGCAGAAGCTACATCATCAACGGCACTACTTAAATTTAATTTTCAAAGAAATATCCCTGGAATACGTATGTTTCAAATCCAGTACAATGGTACTTATGATGACACCCTTGTTTACAGGTAAGAAAAATTAAGCAGATTTATATACTTACCATGCATCTTAGTGTAGAACTTGTTAATGTACTACTGATTTTTCTTAATTGGCAGTGCTCTTCTGTTTTGTAATTCCGTATTTTAAAGTGCATAGTGTAAGCTTTGAAAAAGGTGGTAATACAAGTGGGGAGATATTTTGAATGGTATTATTTTTAGAGAGTTCAACTTATATTTAATATTATGCTTACTTACTTTTTTTCCCCCTCATCTAAGAGATGTGACTATCAGAGGACAAGACTGATTTATAATAAAAATTCAAAAACATACCAGAACTTACACATCCAAATGAGTGTTCTTTCCTTCAAGGAAGTCATGTTGGGAGGCTATACCATTATCCCAATGATGCTGCCATTGCTCAAAGCACTTTTGGAATTATCTTTAGAACCTTCATCATACTATTTTGAATATCCTCAGTGGTGGCAAATCTTCGTCTTTTGAGGGTGAATTTGAATTTTGGAAACAAGCAAAAGCCATTTGGAGTCAAGTCTTGTGAATAAGGTGGGTGATCAAGATGGGTATTGCCATTTTTGGTCAAAAATAGGATGTAACTATAAAATAATGAGACTGATTTTTTGAGTGATTAAGGGGTGTGTGTGTGTGTGTGTGTGTGTGTGTGTGTGGTTGTGTTGTCTCACGTGTACTGGTTCTAAGAGAGTTCCAAAAAGAAACATTATAAATAATTTGAGCAGTGAAAGTATCACTGGAATTAGGTATGTAATATCCAAGTAAGGATGATGATGGGGAATTTGCACCTACTAAAGAATTTCTGGTATGTTTTTCTAAAGTTCAGCCTCATTGATTTATAGTCACATCTTGTCCAATTTTCTGTTTAAAAGACATATTTTTATCCTTTCATATAATTGAGAGACTTACTATGCCCTGGGAAATGATGCAAAACCATGGCTTTGAAATATATATAATACACACACACACACACACACACACACACACACATATATATATATATATAATGTTTAAGATATTCAGAAATCAGATCAGATCAGTTCCTATGTCCCCAGGTGAATTATTCAATATAATTGATTTTCATTCCTGTATGGAAACGAGAGTAATTTTTTTTTTTTTTAAAGCATGGACTAGTAGGCAAAATTAAACCTATCCTAGCTAGCCATGTGATCAACCTGGGGCAGGATTCTACCTGGCTGAGTTTCAATTCCTCGTTATTACAAGGGAGAAATTATCCCTTCATCACTAAATATGTGGGGACGTGGACTATGATACATGTATATTAACTTTAAGTAATTTACTCTTGTCATACCAGGCTCTTCACATAACCCATGGACTACTGTCGATGACAAATACCCCTCCCCACCCCACACTTTTCTGTAGCTATTGGATATTATATATATTTTAAACATTATCTCTGTGAAATAAGCCAGATTTGATTTTCCAAATTCCAGGATTTTAATCCTGCAATGACAAGTAAAATTTTGTTAAACCGTGAGGAAATTTCTTGAATCCCTGACTTTTTTTTGTCATTTGTAAAATAGTGATAATGCCTGTCTCATAAGGTCATTGTAAAGATTAAATTTTAATGTATACAAAATGCTTAGTAATGCCTGTTGTTTAATTATAAATTAGGTCATATTCAGTTGCTACTGAAGGAACAGAGGAAAATAGACATTAACAAGAAACTTTTAGAAAGTAGTAGATTCACAGATGTCTATAAACTCTTTAATTAATTAATTAATTAATTAATTTTAAGGTAAGGTCTTGCTCTGTCACCCAGGCTTGAGTGCAGTGGCACAATCTCGGCTCACTGCAACCTCTGCCTCCCGGGTTCAAGCAATTCTCCTGTCTCAGCCTGCCGAGTAGCTGGGACTACAGGTGCCCGCCACCACTCCCAGCTAATTTTTATATTTTTAGTAGAGATGGTGTTTCACCATATCGGTCAGGCTGGTCTCAAACTCCTGACCTCAACTGATCCACCCTCATTGGCCTCCCAAAGTGCTGTGATTACAGGCATGAGCCATCGCAGTGAAAGTATCACTGAAATTAGGTGATATTAGATTTGGGCACCACCTAAACTCTTATACTTTATAAATTGTGCTCCGATGGAAATTTGCGGTAGCATAAAATGGAATGAGGGATTTATGCTGTGGTCGACAGACTTGCCTTGTTCATGTTTCTAGGATAATATTACTTATATGTTTTCATTATCCTCATTTATAGGTAAAAACATAATGGGGTCCAAGTGTTGATGGCATTAAAAAAGGATTAGATTTGTAAAGAAAATACTTTAATCTTAGTAATAATCTTAGTTATTAAATATATATTTACTGGGTGCAATTTCATTTTTCTGAAATGGAAAATAAATGCTCTGAAATGCGTATCTATTTAGATTTCTAATGTGATTGTCAACATTTTCCCTTCCTTCAAATTTGCTTTTAGTCGTAGAGGTATTGTAAGTGCTAAATGGATTTGTTTAGCAGTCAGATAATGTCACAGTCACACCTTTCAACAGTAATTTATCATCAATGATTTTTTAGCAGTGTTTTTTATTAGGAGTTCTCCTTTGCCAAGCAATGTAATTAGTAAGCTTGTGAAGGCTTGGGGTAGGAACAATTAATATAGTGCAGATGCTGACAAGGACTTTTAGCCATTTTAACTCGGTAAATATGAGATTAGATCATTTTTCAATAATTCATATGTTATAAATGTACTTACCTTAATGAATAGTAAAATGACTCCGAACTAAAGTCGTAGTGACTTTCTGTGTATATGTTTTGTTTTGTTATTACTATTAACACAAATTCCATTGTCCCTCAGAATGATACCTCCTACGAGCAAAACTTTTCTGGTCAATAATCTGGCTGCTGGAACTATGTATGACTTGTGTGTCTTGGCCATATATGATGATGGCATCACTTCCCTCACTGCCACAAGAGTCGTGGGTTGCATCCAGTTTACTACGGAACAGGATTATGTGCGTTGCCATTTCATGCAGTCCCAGTTTTTGGGAGGCACCATGATTATTATTATTGGTGGAATCATTGTAGCATCTGTGCTGGTATTCATCATTATTCTGATGATCCGGTATAAGGTTTGCAACAATAATGGGCAACACAAGGTCACCAAGGTTAGCAATGTTTATTCTCAAACTAATGGGGCTCAAATACAAGGCTGTAGTGTAACGCTGCCCCAGTCCGTGTCCAAACAAGCTGTGGGACACGAAGAGAATGCCCAGTGTTGTAAAGCTGCCAATGACAATGTGATTCAATCTTCAGAAACTTGTTCGAGTCAGGACTCCTCTACCACTACCTCTGCTTTGCCTCCTTCCTGGACTTCAAGCACTTCTGTGTCCCAAAAGCAGAAAAAAAAGACTGGCACAAAGCCAAGTACCGAACCACAGAGTGAAGCTGTCACAAATGTTGAGTCCCAAAACACTAACAGGAACAACTCAACTGCCCTGCAGTTAGCTAGCCGACCTCCCGATTCTGTCACAGAGGGGCCCACATCTAAAAGAGCACATATAAAGCCAAGTAAGTTTCTCACTTTGCCTGCTGAGAGATCCAGAGCAAGGCACGAGTGCTCCCTCGATGGAGAATTAAAGGAATACTATTGTTATATTAACTCGCCGAACACATGTGGACTGTTTTCTAAAAGAAGCATGTCTATGAATGTGATGTTTATTCATTCTGACTGTTCTGATGGTCATAGTGGAAAAGCAACTCTCAAATTCTGAGGGACTACTGAAAAGCTCTGTGTCATTTATTATTTCTTTTCAACGAAAAATCATTTTGAGAACTCACATAGAAAATTGGAATTTGCAATTCTGATGCTGTGCATAAATCAACCTTCTCAGGAACAGTATATATATATACATATATAACTATATATATATATGTATTTATGTATATGTATACTGGAAGGAAACATAAATAAAATAATAAGGGAAAAAGCATGGCATTGCAGCAGTGCCTTTCCCTATTCTAGGACCAGCTCCTAGGACTAGCAGCAGCAGATTTAAAAAATGAAAATTGTTGTAGAAAAAAGACAGTGTTGCATAAAAAGTGATATGTTCTCTAATTTTACAAAGGACCACCTATGGATAAATGATATTTTTAAAGTAGACTGTATATTTTCTTTCAATGGTAATAGTGTTTCCTTTGTTTTTAGGGAAATGTTGTAGAGAACAACTTCATGTTGCTAAATTATTTAAAATAAAATATTCAATTAGTATACTGAGTTAATGTTAAAATTAGTTCCCTTCGAAACAACATCCTTGGTGCAGGTGCCTTAATGGTTGTAAGATATTTCTCCTCCATGACACACCTTTTTCAGTGGAAAGGGGAAGAAAGTGCAATTTATTTTGCATTTATGAAAACTCTAATCAAGTTTAAGTCACAGGCTACAAATTCCTATGCATCTACATGGACATATGAAGGTGTTTTCGTTCATTTAATACACATTTTCTGAATGAATGAGTTTTATGTTGGTCTTAATGCAAGCTAAAGAGGGAGACATACAAGACTGCCTTTATCAAAGGGGTGTTTATCTTTATCACCAAGTAAAATTTAAAAACTTCTAATGGTGTTCTCATTAGATTTATAAGTCTTATAAAGTCATTGCTCATTAAACAGTCAGTGGATTTTTTTCCCTTTGCACTATAGTTTTGCATTTGAATGTTTTCCTTTTAAAGTAAATGCATTTGCTATTTTAACCAGAAACTGTGATAAATTTAACTAGAAATCATGCCATTTAGTGAGAATACATCATTTTTTAACACAGGATTTTAAATTGAGTAGAAACTAATAATGCTCCTGGGTAATGTGGAATTATTAACAATTTACTGAAATTAAGGTCTATAGATAAATGTTTCTATTCACTCCTTGAAAAACTTAATTATATAATAATTTGAGGGTGTTTTATTAAAGATCTGTAAACAGGTTAACATCAAAGAGGTTTTGTTTTGTTTTGAGAATAAGGCTTACATGAGAACTTAGACCCATTGCTTTACACAAAAGAAATGACATTTTAGCCATAATATTGTAAGATAGGGGCTTTACTGTCTTATGTCAAGTACTCTTTGGGAGTAAGTTAAACACACAGCAAAAGTTTATTAACTTTTTCAGATCACTTGAAATACCACTTGAGATACAAGGGAGGAATGTGGAATCGTTAATTTCCTTATGCTAGAAGCATATACAACAATTTCAGTTACTGGTAACTTGACAAAGCCACATCTTCTCATACACAATGTATCATGATGCCATTCCACAGTATGTAAGATTAAAGTAGTTAGAGATGACTTTCAGTGCTAGTGTTCAAAATAATTATCCAACGGGCTTTTTTTTTTTTTTTTTTAGGCGTTTGCTAAATCCCTTCTCTGCACTGATTCTTTTTCTAAAAAATTTGCCTTTCACATTTGCGAAGTCTAATTATCCTTCACTGCTCAGTTATTTATTCGTTGTAAGGAATAGATGAAATCACATGTGGTAGTAGTTTGCAAAGTCAAAAACAGCACTCAGAGTGAAATGTATTTTCAGCACTATTAATGTAGTAATGCTCTAATTCCAACTAAATATTTTAAATTAACATCAATTGCATAATTCCTCAATAGGTGTTGATTTGCAGAAGCATACTACTTTTTCCCTTCTTAGATTTATCAGCATGTTATTAAAAAATATTTAACATACAAAAGTTTTCGAGACTTGACAAAATGAACCTTCAAAGAATTTCTGGGATTATGAAGGTTGTGATCAAAGATAAGGATGCTCTGAAATCATGCAACATCAGCAAGGTTTACATATGTACTATAAGTTACTGATGAACTTCGTATTTTCCAATATTTTTAAAAATCAATTTCCTACTTATGTTTCTAATGAAAGTTTGATTAAGTATCTTTCATTTCTCATAGACTTTTTAAATTCCATGATATTTAATCATATGATATTTATTTTGTTTGACTAACACCATTGAAAATCATTTAATGTTATTTAATATATTTGTAATATGATCATTTTTACAATATTTAAACCAAATGCTTGAACAGTTGTTCTTAAAAATGATAGAAAGGTGAGTATCTGGCCTGATATTTTGCCCTTCAAGAAGTCTACATTTTGAGAGATTAACAAAAGACTGACTTATCAAGAAGGTCAATTTTTTTTTGTATTTGTTTATAAACATATGAAGAAATTTTTGCTTAAAGTAATTGCAGTGTGAAGTGACTGAAAAGTAAGTCTACGGAAAAGTTGGGGATAATATTACCTATCCTGATGTCTGAAACGTAATTTTTGCTTAGGTGAATAAATGAGTAAATGAATAGATAAATATGGCCAGGGAGTAAGGTGTGGAAATAAGAGTTTTCATTAGTTAGTACAATAGAGATTTGTGATCTAAATATTATATTACCATAAGCAACAAATTCTCTGTCCTTTTCTTGTTTTGCTTTCTGTCATTCATTATTTTATTTCTCATTTAAACAGTCATATATATGTGATCTGAAGCATCTGGTTTGCGTTTGTTGTTTCTGACTATATGAAGATTATGTATACTTATATGTTATTTTTGCTTCCTCATTCTTAATTATTTTTCTTTTATTTTTGTCATTTTACATTATAGTTTCAGCTTGTTCAATGTGAGAACAAACAAAATAATGTGTTTCCTGTTATGCATGTATTAACGATGTTTACTTCAAACATTTTTTTAAATTGTATTCCTGCATTATTTTTGTTCCTTTCGAATAATTGTCCCCCAATTGAAAATGCAAAGCTATTATTACCGTAGTGTCATAAAGGGATAATGAAGCATCTAACGTGGCCCCACATTTTAAAAATCAGTATATTTTAGTTTGATGGATATTATTTATTTTAAGTCTACAAATATATAAATACATAAAAACATCAAATACAACAATTTAAAGTAGACATAGTGGCCGGGCACGGTAGTTCACACTGTAATCCCAGCACTTTGAGGGCCCAACATGGGCAGATCACTTGAGGTCAGAGTTCGAGAACAGCTGGGCTAACATGGTGAAACCCTGTTACTAGTAAAAACACACACAAAAATTAGCTGGGGGCGTGGTAGGAGTCTGTAGTCCCAGCTACTCAGGAGGCGAAGGTGGGAAAAATCGCCTGAGCCCGGGAGGTGGAGGTGGCAGTGAACCAACATCCCGTCACTGCATTCCAGCCTGAGTGACGGAGAGAGACTCTGTCTCAAGAAGAAAGAAAAAAAAATTAATTAATTAATTAATTAATTAAGTAGACACAGTAACACTCAAACTGTGGCCAATTTATTCCCCCCCCCCCTTTTTTTTGTAACCATTAAAGGAGTCAGTGGAGGTCTTAGTAAGTTGTTTCATGCTTTAAAACAGTGGGTTTTTACCCGCTTTGTAGATATATTTTACTTAAAATTTGGGAATATAAGTTTTGAACCATTCTAAGAAATCTCTAAACATAGTAAGTTTAATCTTTGAAAGATGCATACTTTTCTCCACAAATTTGTAAACAATTAAAAAGCATAAATGTGTTCCATTTGTCTCCAGAAATCTTTTTCTTCAAGTTTTGTAATGTATTTTCTCTTTAATTTAAAGTACTTGCATCCAATATAAATTTTACTATTTTATTTGCTTGTGTTTTTGAAAATAAAATACATCATTTATAAAGCTAAAAACTTTAAAAGTTGCCCTAAAATTTACATCAGCCGCCTTTTAGTTCTTAAATTTAAGTTTTTCTCTTTCATTATAGCAATAAACTTATGATTTTTTTAAATTCCAATAGTTTAACAAAACCATAAACATAAAGTATCGTCTTTTGGGTAGAATTGTGAAGCATATGAGACATTTCTTAAGGAGACAGCAAATACAAGCCATTGTCTTCTCAGCATAGTTGATTTCCAGTTGCATTTTATAATACTGAGAAAACAATGTTCATTTATGTTAGACAGAATGGAGACTATCTACTATCTTTCCCTTGCTCAGCCTTCCCTCGTTCCAAGAACAGTCCAGTGATTTTACTTTAACAATGTATGCTTCTGTGTGAGTGTGAAGTGTTTTGAGAAAAGGACTTCTGCACAGAGGTGGATTGTATGTGAAAAGGATATTTTTCTTATCCTCTTATGTTGCTGATAATAATACTTTACCTTACAATGTTAATGATATTTAAGTAAATTTATAGAAAAGAAATATGTCATTTTTGAAATGGCATTGAGAAAAGAATAATCAAAATTAGTGTTTGAATTTTTACTTTCAAAGGACAGATTGCCCAGTCTTTTTCTTCCCGTGCTAGATAAATACATGCTGGGATTGTGAATAAAATTAGTTTGTTCACATCTTTATTATTTATGTATTTATTTATTATTATATTTTTCCATAGAAACAATCAATTCATGTAGCAGGGTAAAGAAGACCACTTAAAATAAAAAGAGTGGTAGGCCGGGCGCAGTGGCTCGTGCCTGTAATCCCAGCACTTTGGTACGCCGAGACAGGCAGGTCACGAGGTCAGGATATCGAGACTATCCTGGCCAACGTGGTGAAACCCCCGTCTCTACTAAAATTACAAAATATCAGCTAGGCATGGTGGTGCGCACCTGTAATCCCAGCTACTCGGGAGGCTGAGGCAGGAGAATCATTTGAACTCCGGACTCAGAGGTTGCAGTGAGCCAAGATTGTGCCACTGCACTCCAGTCTGGTGAGAGTGAAACTCTCTCTAAATAAATAAATAGTGGTAAACATATTGTTGTGATTGAGCAATCCTAAAAATGTGGTGTTATCTGAAGAGGGATATAAAAAGTAACAATTTATAACCAGGAGTATATTTAAGTAGTAAATTACCTCATTAAGGTACTGTTAATGCATTGGGGATTTCATCAAATTACACAGATACTCAACAGAACAAAATAATCACTGATTACTCTGGTAAGTGTAATGGTACGCATAAAATCATTGTCTTCTGATTATGTTCAGCACTTTCAAAGTCAAAATTTAGGAACTAAAGTTAACATTGAATAAATATATACATCACATACATTTGTATAAATATATATGTGCTCAACAAATATCTGTCTATATACTTATATAGACATATAAATATTTATATTCATAACATTAATCAGCTAAAATCATAATTTTGTGTCCTGCAATATAGATTGAATTGTAATTACTATGAAAAACATAGATTTAAATGAACTGGCTAGAGAACTTCTCCCAGAAAAACTGTAAAAATTATACCTGTTACTTATCAGGTGACAATAGAATATAAAGTACAAATTTAATTTTCTGCATTTTTTAATGATAACCATCTCTACAACCTATTTTCGTCCATTTCAAACTTGGTGATTGTTATGTTCATGATGTCTGAAAACAAAAACAAAATATTTTCACATTCATTCAGGAATAAGCCATGACAGCCCTTTCATTTAAAGTACTTGTGTTTGGAAGTAGTTGAACATTTAACCTTACCTGACACATAGGCTATGTATATATGTTTCTGCTCTGGCATATGTCTAATAAATAAATATTTGAGTAAAGTCAAGGAGGTTATGAAATATACTATGTTGGCTATTGGCTCTACCATAATTCAATTCTGTAATCATTTTTTCATCTATAATGTGAACATCTATTATGATTTTATGTAAAATCTAATCTCCAAAGGCCATTGTATATTTACATGAGTATTTGTGCTGAAAGTTTTGTAAAAAACAATTTGTCGGCCGGGCGCGGTGGCTCAAGCCTGTAATCCCAGCACTTTGGGAGGCCGAGACGGGCGGATCACGAGGTCAGGAGATCGAGACCATCCTGGCTGACACGGTGAAACCCCGTCTCTACTTTAAAAATACAAAAAACTAGCCGGGCGTGGTGGCGGGCGCCTGTAGTCCCAGCTGCTCGGGAGGCTGAGGCAGGAGAATGGCATGAACCCGGCAGACGGAGCTTGCAGTGAGCTGAGATCCGGCCACTGCACTCCAGCCTGGGCGGCAGAGCGAGGCTCCGTCTCAAAAAAAAAAAAAAAAAAAAAAAAAAAAAAAAAAAAAACAATTTGTCTCAGTCTCGTGACCCTCAGCTGTAAATCCTAAGAAGGACTTAACCTTTACCTTAGGACTTAAGTTTTCTATCATGTGTCACTTCTCAATGATTAGACGTATTTGCTTGAAAATAATGCATTTTGGAAAAAATAGAATGTTTGCCGCACAGGTTTATGTAATGGTATTAAATTTGTATAGGCAATTGGAACCTACATATAAACATTTAAAGGAAAGATGTTTGTATTGAGATTGATTGAGATTGCTAGTGTCTTACATAAGGATGAACAGGTACTTGTTGAAACATTACCTATTATTTGGGGAGTGGGTATTGAATGATGGTTAATATTGTAAATGATTATTTCATACTCCATATGGTGCACATAGTTAAACTATATTTTCTGCTTTGAGTTCTTTTTTCCTTGATGTATTTTTGCATATTATTCATATGAATCTTTATACATGAAATGTCAACTGTAAGAAAGAAAATGAACAGAAACTTGATTATCTTATTGAACTCTGTCACGAATACCAAATCTATATTGAAAATCACTCATTTTAGTTATTAGAATAACATTTTTGAAAACTGTTTTTAAGCATCAGGAATAAGAAAGTAGTCACAGAGAACTGAAATATTATAAAAGTCAATTGCAATTAACCCATGAACTGGTAAGTTTTTTTAAAAAAATCTTTAGATAAATCTTTGCTAATTCTTGGTATGAAGTCTTACCAAGATTTCATAAGAAGTTTTTTAAATCTATTTCTTTTAAAAAATGAATTGTTTATGACACTGAACATTTTATTCCCAGATGCTTTGCTGACTAATGTTGACCAGATTGGCCAGGAAACACAGGTGAGATTCTTATTACCTGTAACATACTTCAACAATTAAATGAGTATACACTTTTTATAAATTAATTTTAAGTAATTAGTTTGCTAATTTGTGTAGCTTACTGAAATTTTCTTTTAAACTTTACTTATAATTCTCAACAGTACAGACTGAAGTTTAGTTTACTTAAGTGAATTCACAGTTTCTAAATTTAGAGATATTTGGGGTTAACTAAACATCTCTGCTTTGTTCTGTAAGAAATAAAGTTAATAATAATAGTGATGCATTCAACTTTGGAGTCAGTCTTATAATCATACATGATACAATGTGCATTTTTACAAATATTTCCAAATGTGAAGACAGTACCTTGATAAGAAAGTATTTACTCCTATCCTTGACCTCCACATCCTAATAAGAGCTGAGATGACACATTATGCCTCATTGAAAACAGATGTACAGAAGCGTTTCGCTGTTATCTAAAATGAATGAAGCCTCTTTAAAATGGAGCAAAAGACTGCATATGAAATATTCATGGTATTACTTTTGTCAGCAACCAATTATTCTTCTTGAGTGTTTTTTTTGGGGGGTGGATGTTTGAAATGAGTATTTGATTCTTGAATTTTAATTGGATCGGAGAGTGTGTTTCCAGAGCAGAGCAGCACTTTAGCAATCTGTTCAAACAGCTGGAAGCATCAGCCATTTGCTTGAGGTTTGGCACACACAAAAAAACTCTGCTTTTAACGGTTCTAAAAAAGGCCATTGATTTATTTGCTGGTAGTAAAAATAGGGTCTTGGTTTTTAACATTTTATATTTAAAAGAAAAACAACTTTGTCAATCTTTCAGGATCTTCCCTAACGAATTCCATCCACAAATCAAAATGTTTTCGTGCATCATTTCTTTACTGAATTTAGAATCCCATTCTTATGTTGCAAAAAACAGCAGATGGCTCATTGGAAACACTGAAACAATCAACAGCACAATGTCTGGCACATGTCTGTGTTCTATTGTGTGCATTGAATTGACCTGCATGAAGGTGTCTGGTTTCTCCATCACCCCTTTTCTTCTCTCTCTCAATTTTTAACCTTTCTTCTTATTTCTCTTTCCGTCTCTCTCTCTACCCACCACTCTCTCTCCCTCTTTTGCTCTCTTTCTCTTTCTCTCTTTCATTTTTAAAGTTCATTGATCATGTAACTTTAATAAATCATATCCAGCCAACCTGAAATTTAGGATAGGATACCTTTATATAAGAATTAGGAAACAGATGATTAATCTATAAGGAACACAAGCCAAAATGGTATTAAATGTTGTATCAAAATTTGGAGGCAGGTGAGTAAATGTCTACGTAATTTTTCAATTATCAATTTAAAGAATTTTCTAAAGATTCACATTTGAAATGGCATATTGAATATTATTTTGCTTATGTGTTTATTTTCGTATATTATCAGGAATGGAATTTGGAAAAAGCTAATTTCTTTGCAAGTCTTTGTACTACTAGACATAGCACGAGATTTTGCAAATGTGATACATACATAAGGCTTTTAATAATGACTTTTTATCTTAAAGTAATTAGTAGTACAAAAAATAAGAAAATATTAAAAATAAATGACTGTCATAACATTATAGAAAACTTCCGTTCATACTTAGGCTACCTTGTGCCTCTTTCTATAAATATTAGCAAGTGAAACAAATCCAGAGACAAATAATAGTTTTAACAAAATTCAGTGGCAATACATCATTCACTTATGAGCCAGCTCCTTGCTACCTTTCTATTATCAGACTTAAGTTACTGTATGACCCCGAGGTAAGTATTCTTGATTCTTGGTAAATGATTTGTGCTATAGCAGGCCTATGTCTACCACCGTGAGCAGACCAAACAGTGATGCTCCTACTGAAGACAGTGTGTGACCTGTGTGTTCTTAGCTTTCTCACAGCCTTTCACATTGTCAGTGTGTGAAGGAACTGAGGTGGAGAGTGGGCAGAGACCCTTTGTGATTGCAACTCTTCAGCTCTGAGTTTTCTGTAGCCAATCATACTGAGGTACCTGTTAAGGTGAATTTCTTTTCTAGGCATAGAGAGTTAAAACACTTATTTCATTTCCATTATTCAGAATATGCCCCATGCCAATTTTCTTTTTTAGAAGCCTTTACGAATGTATATAGAAGTGGAGTGGCCTTGAAATATTTTAATGTATAATGTATAATACAATTCTTTTATAATATAATCATAAAATTTTAATCACACTAAAATGAATTGAGAGCAAAGGGGAAAGGAATGATGTATAAAATTAATGCTGATGACTCTACGTGGAAATTGGCACTTATGTATAAATTTTCGTTGTGTTTGGCCAAGATTTTTATCTTTACAATGAACACAGTAAAAAAATAGTTATGCTGTTCGGCAGTTAAGTAAGAAATAATTGAGTAGTTTCCATTTATACTTAAAATGCCTTAAATAAAATGTCTTAAGAAGTGTTTGCTGTATTCTGACCGACAAAATATGTACACATTGTGTGTACGTGTGTGTGTGTTTGTAGCTTTGCACAGAGCTATAGCTTATTCTGTGATTGCTTGCACAGGCCTTTAAGATAATTGCTTCCTGATTTTAATAAATTTAACTTGCCATTAGTCCACGTTTAATAACAAGCAAAAATGTAAACTTTGCAATAAAATCTCTGTTCCAGATGAGTACAATTTTTTTAGATAAATAATATACAAATTAATAAAAAGCTAATATTTATTATAAATACATAACAACATTGATAAAACTATGGGAAAGCATAGGGTTAGGAAAATACATAAAATAAGAGCCTAAGAGAAAAGCAAATTTTGTACATGATGCAAATATGCTTCCAATATGTTTCCAGGTGAGAGTGGTCAATATAAAATATTTGCTTCTGCAGGAGGAGGTTCCTATGAAATTCTTTTCAAGTAAATTTTCTGAAATAAGAGTAACAGAATAAACACATATGTAGGAAACATTTGGATTTGTTTTAATAATTAAGGCATGTTTTAACATATATATTTGAACATTTACCAGATTTTAAAAAAGAAAAGCCTTTGTGTCAGCAATGACCTTTAGAAATCATCTCCTTGTTTAGACATCCTAGCTATGAAAGATCAAAATATTTCACAGTTCTTAATTACATTGAGAAGACGGGCAGTAATAAATGTTTTCCCACAATTCATTCAATGTCAGGACATTTTTTTCTTCTCTTAATGTTCAGGGAGCTTGCATTTCTTATTTATCTTTTAGTACTGTTAATAAGACTGTCCATAAATTTTTGCATGATATCCACTCACTGTTTAATGAGGAAAATAACCAAAACATCCTAAACCTACTACAACTTGATTATTTTTAGTTTTTATAACATTTTTACCATATTTAGTCTGCATTAGTTGTATTGTTTGATGCTCTTGTAATTTTGTGTTTTATGTTTAGATATTTATGGAATTACTATAGGAGCTACCTATTGATATGTAAATTAAAGTGTTATTTTGGATATTCTATTAAATGACAATTTTTATTTGGCTCCGTATTATTTAATAATTTTAATACTGCTACATCTTCAGAGCAGACAAACTTTATACTTCACAATATTTTTGTTATTTCCTAATATTCAAAATTAGTAGCATTTATATAAACCGTAATTTCACAGTTCGTTAATATCATTATTTAATGTGAAACTTAAGTAAATCTTTAAGATATGTAAACTTATAAAATCATTAACTTGATACTAAATTAACATTTGCTATCCTGGAACTATTTATTACTTAAAAACTTAAACTAGTTACTTTGTCCACTGTCATTTTCCTCCTAGGTATACTGCAACTTTTACTATGTTATTACTTTTTGTAACTTGACATTTGATATAGTACCATAACACCTTTTTTGTGTGTCAAAGGGAGTGTATCACTTGAAATACACAAAGAGAAAACATGTTGATATTCAATTTTACCAATATGAGCTCTGCAATGAACCAAATAAAGACGAACTTAGTAATATATACCGTTACATTTTTACAGTGGTTTTGCAATGTTTTTCTTAGTATATTCCAGGTAAATTATGACAATGATATCTGTATTTCAGTAACTTTTTAAAAAGTAATTTTTTTTTACAAATAACATACACATTGGTCCCTTAACAATCTTCACATATATGGTGCATTTCTTATTAGCTTTCCAAAATTATTATTTTTGCTAAAATCAATTTCACTATTCAGGTTAATTATTTTGAAATATTTTCTTAAATAAATTATCTTTACAGCATTTTACCAACTTTCACATAAAGTTACCAAATAACCTTTAATATACTTTAATAACTTTATCACATAAAATTATCTAAAGATACTCTACATCAGCATTTTAATATAGAATATGAAATAAATGAATCTCTATTTCATGATTCATTCGTGCCATGCATTTTAAAATTTCCAAATAGAAAATTGTAAACATGCAGTATTTTTAATGGAAAAGAGAAAATTAGTTGTGCTCATGTATATGAAAGCATATATTTCTCAAAACATTATTTTCCATTTTCATAAAAAGTAGACTTAATTAGAAGTATCTTAAATCCATGAAGACTGATTAGAGGAAAAATATTTTCACAGTTGTATGTTTAAATATTTTTATAAAATGGCTTTTACATTATTTTCTTTCAAAATCATATTTAATTCAAACATGGAGTGACTTTAAGAGTTATTGTGAGTTTTCCATTTATTTTGTTTTGTGGGTGAAAAACTGATTAGTTAAGATGAATAATTTACTACCATTATATGTATAATTAAATATTTGTAAAATTTTAATATCATACACATTTTCTAGCAGAATTTTTTAAATTTATAAGCGGCATGCATTAATAGCTGCAATTATTTATCTTACCTTGAAATTATATATGTGAAAAAAAAAGCAAGAGAAAATGACATTTTCCAAGGTAGCTTTGACTTTACATAATTATCTAGACTTCATATACTTAGATTTAAAAAAATAAGATTTTTAATATATTCACCAATTTGAAGTTACCAAGCAACATTTTATATGTTAATATGCATGTTTACATAGTTTTCATGCGTATGTGATGTATTTCATGGCAAGAAACTCCTGCTTGGGTACTTACATTTCAGTTACTTTTAGCTTGCTAACACAATGATCTTATTAGCTATGTGTTTTCTTTCTTTCTTTTTTTCCTTTTCCTTTTTCTTTCATTTCAGAGGTTGGAGTTAATCTGAAGAGCACCACTTCTCCTCTCTCTCCTGAAAAAATTTGCCACTGATATTTTTACTGGATAAAATTCAAAAATGTTTCAATTCACAAAGGCTAATTGTTGAACTGCTGTCCTAGAAGAAACTGTCTACAGGAGCCGAGGTGAAAGTCTCTGATGCTGGCGGAACTGGCTCCATCAGACCATGGTTCATCCTCTTTTAAAACCAAATTTTTTTTTCTTCTGGCCTACAGGTATTTTTTTTTTCCAGAAAGAAAAAAAGCCTACATTGGCATAAAGTTCTGTATCAATCCATCTTACATTGCCGTCCATGATTTAACAGACTGTAGAATCTTGAATAATCTATATCACTTTAACAAATAAATGTTTTACTATGACAGAATTTGCACATTGCCTGATTTGTGAAAGTACCCATTGCTTCAAGTGCGAGTGGTGAAATAATTATTGCAAGAACTAATAATACTGTTTTACATGTAGGCCGTGCAAAAACCTTAAGAGATTACAAGCGGCTTTATAATATTGGAACGATTTTATTCCATGATTAGGTGCACCCAGTTCTTTGGGAGAGCGGGACAGCTATTTAAGCAAATGTATACTAATTTTATGCCTCAGTATAGGATAAAAAGTGATAAAGGCTCTCTTCTCCCAGTAAAACTTCCAAAATGATCAAGATAGGAATACTATAATTAATCCAAATTGATTCATTGCTTTTCTAGAGAGCCAGGGCAAAAGAGGTTTTAGTAATTACAAGCCTTAAGTGCACATTTCTCCAATTTTGCACAAGTTCAGAGTAAGAACAAAGAATATGCATGTGATTTAATACCAGCACATGTAGAACTGAGTTAGTTTTGATGGCTAATACAGGAGAATGCAGTCATATTTAAGCAATATCGAAGCTAAGCACATAAGAGCTGCCTCTGGTGTGAAGCAGGCCTCAACTGTGTGAGTTTGGCCGGTTACTTATGCACAGCAGTCTCCCATGGTGTCATAAAATAGATATTAATGTAAAATTTGAAAGCACATACATTTATCAGAATACGTGGCAAAAACAATGAGTTCAATAAAAATATTTGTAAGAGCATTGTTCCTCCCAATTGAATTCAGACGCTCTAAGATATAGATCATATCTCTATTCCTTGGTAATTCTGATAGTTATCATTGAGACCAATATGTAGTTTATATTTTTTTAAGTTCAAATCAAATAAGATAGAAAACTGTTTACCTTTTAACAAATTCAGGTTAATCTGTTAATTATTCCACATTTGGATTATTACAAATATCCAATCATCCAAGGAGAGGTTTCAGGACGTTAGCCATTTAGAACACTTGGAAGCCGTGCTCAGGAACCTAACTACACTGGACAATTTAGATACAGTTGTTTGTGTGCGCGCTGCCCACACACACACACACTCCCTGACACACACAATGCAAGACTGAAACAGAAGTTGCAAGTTTGAATTGAATTTTCGTGGTTAAATTTGTGGTCGTGACATTGGGCAATTTACCTAATTCTCTGTTTGACAACCCTGGAACAACTTTGCTTATGGGTGTGCGTGCATGTACATACATGAATGTGTATGATGATTAAAAAGAGACGGATTGAAGAGTGAATATTGCCTCTGCAAATACTTTGCTGTTGTATACAACTCTTCTCCTAATATACATATGTAAAGAGAGAGTCAAGAGCAGGAATGGCTTTCCTGGATCTCGGCTCAGAGTGACATTTTCAGTTATCTTGGTTCCTCAAGGACATCGTCCTGTTTATTCTTACACTCCTCCCACCCCTTTGGGACTAATTCTTTTCTTGATGGTGATAACAAAACAGTGTTGTTCATAACCTGTCCTATCATCTACTTTTTCATTCATTCAGGATATTTATGCGATTGTTTTCAAAGGAACAGAATTGTTACTGAGTTAAAACGAAAGTTAAATCACTTCAAGTCTTTACCCTGCATCCCCTACATCTAAATCCAAAATTTCCGTTTATGCATATATTCAATCAAACAGCGTTACTCACACACCCATAATGTACACATTTTCTTTTTTTTAATGTTTATGAGGAAGAGTGGGCGCAGACTATGATTCTTAAGGTTTGTGAGAATCAATTGTTTTTATGAGATATTTAATTCTTATATTAAGAAGATTAACAGAACATAGGTGTATACCCATAACTAAATAAAATTAATAATCATTCACAAATAGAGTTCTATAAAAACAGAAAGTTCTACAAAAAGTGGCATAATTATATTTTAAAAGTAAGCAGGAGCAATTTGTTTTAGCTGAAAATATTATAAAGTACAGGAATGCGCTAATCTATGATAACAAGTCTCAATGCTAATGTTAATGGACATAGACTGGAAACCATTTAAATCATTCCTGTTACTCAACGTTCTTGGGTAATTTTGGAAGTAATCTAGCTGCTAAAAATATGTAAGTATAAATACATACTTCTTATGACACATCTAATTCATAGTATATTGTAAAGCACAACAAACACAAGAATTTCAAATAAAAGTGTGTTGATTGCAATAGAGTTATAGCGTAATGAGGTGTGGAAGTAGACTGCAAACTGTAAGTTACTCTTTTGAAAATCTAAAATCATGATTTTTAAAATTTTGAATAATCTGTAGAACTAAAGGGTTCTAATATTTCTAACAATTTGTAGAAATAAAGTTCTGTTACGTTGAAAGGAATAATACATGGAAATAAATCTCAAATAACTTTTCCTTTTTATTTTATGTATAATTTTGTAGCTCACCAGCTAGTTTTTGAACAAGTTTTAATTGTCAGTTACACCCCAAAATATTCCTTTTCATATATATGAAATGTTTTAGGGCTTTTTTTATTTTTTCTAAAATGTACTCATAAACTCAGGTTATTTCTTCAATCACTCTGTTGTACTTGTTCCAGAAAATTATTCAAGTTTTATTTCTTTCCTTTTCTATTTCCAAAATATATTCATACATACATTTTATAGATCTAATAATTAATTATTATGTGCACTTTTGTGTATTGAGTCACATGAAATTATTGAAAATGCAAATGAGATGCAATTTTTTGTGTACAAGAGTAAAAGTAAAAAAGTAGAAGTATAGCACCAAGTAAAAGTCCCCAGCACCTGATTGTTTCATTTAATATAAAATTACTATATATAGGGAGGCTATCTACACTAATTTTTTTAAAGATTTTACTTTGGAAAATATATAACATAAAATTTGACATTGTAACCATTTTAACTGTACAAGCTAACAGTGTTAATTACATTTACAATATTGTGCAGTCATCACCCTCTGTTTTAAATATTTCTTAAAAAGCACTTAAAGATTTTTGTATGACCCAAACACAAACTCTGTACCCATGTAGCAAATAATACTCATTCCTCCTCTCTCCCTGTCTCTAATAGACTCTGATCTACCTTTTCTCTACAATATACCTATTCTAGATATTTCATGTAAGTGGAATCATAAAATATTTGCCCTCTGATGTCTAATTTATTCCACTTATTACAATGTTTCCAAGGCTCACCCATGTTGAAGTGCACCTCAGATATTCACCTCCTCTTATGGTATAATAATATTTTGTGTATCGTATTTTGTTTATCTTTGTTTATCGTATTATTTGTCTTTTGATGAACACTTTTGTTATTTCCACCTCTGGGCACTGTGAATAATGCTGCAGTTCTGCATGGAACATCAGTGTACAGCTATCTGTTTGAGTCTGTGTGTTTTCAATTCTTCTGGTTATATATATAGCAGTGGAATTGCTAGGTCATATGATAGGTTTAATTTTGAGTTTTTTGTTACTTTTTTTGAGGAAGTGTCAGTGTGTTTTCTACCATAGCTACACCTTTTTAGATTTCTTCCACTAATTTTTGAGGGTGTTAGGGTTTCAGTTTCTCCCAAGTTTTAAATTTTTTATGATTTGGGTTTGATTTGCATTTTCCTAATAATGAATGATACTGAGCATTATTTCATATGCGTATTGATCATTTGTATATGTTCTAAGAAATGTCTACTCAACATTTTTACCCATTTTAAAATTGTGTTGACTTTTGGTAGTTGTTTGTATATTCAGGATACTAGTCCTTTATCAGACGTATAATTAGCAAATATTTTTCCCATTTTGTAGATTGTCTTTTTTACATTCTTAATAATATACTTTGATGATTTTTTAAAAATTTTTATGTGTCTGATTGTATTTTTTTTTCTTTTGTTTCTTGTGTTTTTGATGTCATTTTAAGAACCTGTTTCCCAATTCAAGCTCATGAAGATTGACCCCTGTGTTTTCCTCTAAGGGCTGTACAGTTTAAGTGCACAAGGCAATGGTGATTATTTTTAGGTGATTGATTTGTTTAGAGTAAATTTTTGTAGATAGTGTGAGGTAGAGGTCCAACTTTATTTTTTTGGATGTGGATATCCAGTTGTCTCAGCATCATCATGATGAGTATGATGTAAGCTGTAGAGTTTTCATAAATAAGCTTTGTCATGTTAAGGAAGTTCCCTTTCATTGTGGTTTTCTAGTGTTTTTATCAGGAAGGGGGTTGGATTTTATCAAATGCCTTTTTGATTTGATTTATCATATGTGCTTTGTTGCCCTTTATTATATTGTGTTGTATTGTTTTCATTGATTTTTGATCTATAATTACCATAGCATTCTTGGGATGAATCTTACATGGTCATTGTGTATTAGCCTTTCACTATACTGTTGCACCTCTTTTGCTAGTATTCTGTTGTGGATTTGTATATATATAGCTTTTTCATTTAATATATATATATAATATATAATGTATAATATATACACATACCTATATAATGACTATTGGCACAGTTTTTTATATATATATAATATATATAAAATACATATTGGTGCAGTTTTATTTTCTTGTGATGTCTTTATCTACCTTTGGTATCAGGACTATTTTGGTTCCATAGAATGGGTTAAGAACTGTTTCCTCTCTTCTGTTTATTTTCTTAAATTGTCTGAGAAGAATTGATAGAATTATCTTTAAGAGTTTGGTAGAATTCCCCAGTGAAGCCATCTGGCCCTGGCATGTCTTTTTTCAAAGGTTTTGGATTAGTGATTCAATGTATTTGTTGTTATAGTCGTGCTGATATTTTCTATTTTCTCTTGAGTCAGGCAATTTTTGTGTTTCTAAGAATTTCTGAATTTCATGTAGGCTATCTATCTTACTAGTTTAACATTTTCTTATAATTCTTTTGGTTTCTTTAAGGTCAGTTCTATTGATTACTGATTGTGGTGTACTGAAGTCTTCAACCATTGTTGTAGAATTGTCTGTTTTTACCTTCGATTATGTCAATGTTTGCTCATTTTGAGGGGCCTTTATTTGTTGTTGTATATAAGTTTACAATTGTTATAGTTCTT